CCCTGATAACGTACTCTCGCTGAATGATCTTAGGCATATTACTTAACTTTTCCAAGTAGGGAGCCTTGTAGTTCAGGAAGTTAAAGCTTCACAGAGATTAGACAATTTTGGTGGGGTCACAATGCCAGCAAATGATTGTAAAGGTGGGTGGAAATACCCCCAATTAGAATCACATCAAGTAGCCTCAGGTTCTCCTGGAACTCTCCTAATATCCAGGAATAAAATGGGGACCATCATCAATTTATATCCTTGTGGTTTTGGAATGGGTATTTTAGGCTTTTTTCCTTCTGGGCCTAACAATGCCAGCTATTGCTGAATGATAATCACTATAGAATGGATGTTGTCCCAATGAAGAATAATCAACAAGCAGCTAAGTGTGGGGAGGGGGGGAAGAGGGGGAGGATAAAAGTTATAAATAATAGGAGCATGTCCTCTTCCTGGTTGGAAAATAAAGAAGGTTGTAAGCTTCCTGACAGCAGAGTCTCTGTCTTCTATTCTTTGTGTCTCTTGCATTAGCCAAGGGCCTAGCCTCACATATGTAAGCTTCAACAAATTTTTGTGAATGAATAAGTTAATCAAAGTTAATCATTACCTACTTAATACAGAACTGAACTATAGAACCTGTTCAAAGAAGAAAGGCAAGCTCAGCTGGTGTTGCTCAGTGGTTGAGCATCAACCCATGAATTAGGAGGTCACAGTTCAATTCCCAGTAGGGGCACATGCCCAGGTAGAGGGAGTACAGGAGGTAGCCAATAAATGATACTGTCTCATCACTGATGATTCTCTCTCCCTCTCACTTTCACATCCTCTCTCTGAAATCAATAATAATAAATATGTTTTTTAAAGAAGGCAAGATTCCACATTCTATGTAGAAACTAGAATAACTATCAGGACTATGATTAATTGGCCAAAAGATCAGGGGCTTCTTAGACCAAGGGAAACAAGGTGTGTATCAGTGAGGAGACTCTTAGAATTCTTAAAGTTTAATTGCCTTTGATCAGGCTGTGCATTACTCAGGTATAATAGATTCATTAGGACTCAGGTTTTCAAGTAAACATGGGCAAATCCTAATCCTAGGATCAGCAGGTAAGTCCCCCAAATCCTAGTCATTTTCCCCAGAGTCTTGTGTTTAGAATGCAACAAAGCAATAAATATGGGCAAGGTTAAAACCAATTTTCAGATATACAGAAATTTATATCCTAATAGTTTTTAAAAATGACTTGCAAGGTTTTCATGCTATATTACTGCATTTGATTAATTTGTTACAAGATTACGATTTTATAATATGTCATGGCTAATGTTCTGCTTTTCAAGTGATATCCAGTATACATATAAAATTCAAATTCGTTAGCTTGGCGTTAAAGCCCCATGTGGCATGCTATCAAATTAACTACTTTTCCAAAATCACATCAAATCCTCTTCATATGCAATGTATGCTCCTACTATACTCAATTTCTCTTTCAGGTCTCGGGGATTTTGCATTGTCTGTGAATTTGCTCCAAACAGTGTTTCTCCCTCATCACCAAGCATCAGAGAATTACCTCCTCCCTCATCACTGAGCATCAGTTAATTACCTCCTCCTCTGTGTATCTTAACATACCTCTATTTTTAAGAATCACGTATCCTTTGTTTTATAACCATTTAGTTTCTTTTCAACCTCATGTGCTAGGCTGCCAGCTCCAATATAGCAGGCAAGTCATCATTTTGTCTACCTCACCCTAGTTCAACAAATATTCATTGGCTGCCCCAAACATCCATGCATACATATTTATGAAAACATTACCAAACAATGTATCCGATTTCATTGCTTTAAACCGTTAACATTTAATAAAACAACTTGCAAATAAATTGTTAAAGATCATGTTATGAACACCCCTCTGCCCCCCTAGTGGTTTTATCTACATTTAGTTGTGATGGACATTTGCTCTGGCCTGTGGAGACCCAGGAGGAGTAAAATCCTTTAGACCTGTAATTATATCTATGTAGCCTGCCACGAGAAGTGATTTTTCTCGTCTAAAAAGGCTATGCTGGAAAAGCCATGTTTTTGGCGATTTCATTAACATTTAAAAATGTTAACAATTCTGTCAGCCCAAACTGAAAATGACTGCGTGAGAAATGAAAGCTTGCGTAACTCTGACACTTGCTCTTCATGGTTCATTATCCCCATGGCTTTCATTACGCAGCTAGGAAGCAGGGTCAACGTCACAAAATTTGGGACCAATTAAGAAAATTACTGCATGCAGATGTGACTTTAGAAAAGACTTGATTTCTGCAACATAAGAAAGAATGATGAAAAAATCCACAGATGTTTTATAGCTTAAGGCAGACTGTATCCAGGGTTTTGCCCACTTCCCTTGACCTTTCCTGATCAACCCTGAAACTTTCTCTCGGATGGTATTCCCAAGGAGTTTAGGAAGTCCTGGGCCTAGTTCCTGAAGTTCTCTGAGTTCATTCTCAAACACATCATGGAGATGAGCATATTGTCATGATCCTTATATATATGAATTGCAGGCGGTCTCAAACCTTACAATCTTCTTTTAGAGCTTTTATAGTTTATGGAAATAGCCACAAGAACAAAGATTATTCACAAACCTAACATTTTATTTAAGAAAAAGTAACAGAAGAAAACTTACCTTGATACCATTAACAAAATGTTGTATATCTACCAACCACTTGTTTTTCTCCTACAGCTACATTTGACATAGGATATAAACAAAATATAAAATGTATTTTCCATCTATCTATCTATCTATCTATCTATCTATCTATCTATCTATCTAATCTATTGTAATCCTCACCCGAGGATATTCCTCCCCCATTAATTTTTAGAGAAACTGAAAGAGGAGGGTGGAAAAAGAAAAAGAGAGAAACATCAATGTGAGAGAGGTACTTTGATTGGTTGCCTCCTGCACAAACCCTGGTTGGGGCCTGGGATTGAACCTGCCATTCAGGTAGGTGCCCTTGAAAGGGAATCGAACCCATGGTCCTTTGGTCCCAGAGCCAATACTCTAACCACTGAGAAAAACCAGCCAGGGCTCCTTTTTGAATCAATTTCAATAAATGCTTATTAAGTGATTGCTATATGCTAGGTATTAAACTAAGCTGGGTAATATTCCCACTTAATAAAATTCATATTTTGGCTCACAAGTCAAACACAGGCAAACAGTGATGATTTGTACATAATTTCATGTGCAAAGTGCCATGGGATCCTTATAGAAGGAGATATAACTCACATATAAATTAAATGTGGAGAAGCCAGAAAGATCAGTATGATCTTGATAAAATAATCCCTTCAGCAATATGTTATAACCCATGTCAATAAATATTTCTCCCTGTAGTTTTTAAACATTTTTAGGATCCAAACAGAGTCATTTTTCTTGGGCTCTCCCTTGTACATGAGACAGAAAGATGCTAAATAACTTAATGTAGTTTTCACAAGTGGCTTTTCCTGTCCTTTTAAAATAATGACTATTCTGAAGTATTAATAAAAATGTTGCTTATATTTTTGTTATGAGGGTGAATGCTTTTTATTCTAGACAAAATTTTGAGCCTCACTTATGTACTAGTAGATTAAATCTGGACATAATCTATAAAATAAAAGTATTCATAGAATTTATCTTGTGGAATTTCAAATACAATATGAGGAAAATGAAAAGATCCGATTACGGTAGAACACCTAATTTTATCATTAAAAGGGTCCTAATAAATAATCTTTTCATTTTGTTAATCTTCTTTAGGACATATATAGGTTGTACTTAAAACTCTGCCACATACATGGCATTTAGCATGTTGCCTTGCACATAGTAGGTGCTCAACCCACAGGTGTAAAATTAAATGTAAAATGCTTAGGCCCTCCCGTTCTTTCATTAAATCATCATCTCTTTCTAAAAGGTAAGACACTATGAGCTTGCCCTGTGTTTCTCAATATGGTCAGAGGCCCTGATCTGAGAGGATTGCCTAAAAATGGGTTCAAGCCTGGAGCTAAGCCTGTCCCTCTAAAAGACCAATAACCCTATGATTTGGCTTCTCTGATCACAGGTAATCCTCTTCAGAAAAAAATCTAGGCCCTTACAAAATAAACTTCAAGGATACTCTCCTTTAGGGGGATCATAAAAACCATTTCTAGGGTTATTGTTTCATTTAAATGGGCTTTTCCATGTTAGCTTCTGAGTCAGACTGAGGAACTAGAGAGGAAATATACCTAAATTAAAAAATATATATATATGTGTGTGTGTGTGTAATACTCTTGTAGGAACTCTTAGTTTGTTCTCTTTCTATGTATGTATGTATGTATGTATGTATGTATATACATATGTACCTACCTACCTATGTATCTACCACAATGTCTCCATGGACAGTAGAATCTACTGATTACATTAGGGAATATATAACAGGAAACTAGTGCTCAGAGAAGTAAGGTAACTTGACCAAGTCACACAAGTGACAAAGCCAAATTCAAGTTCAGAGTCTGGTTCCAGGTTCTATGCCTATAACCCCTACGTATACTGTCTCAAGCACCTGGGAGGAGAGAAAAGTCTGTTTCCTGCTTGACTAAATGTTTGTCCAGGTCTGTTGCTAGGGAAAAGTGTGGGTAGAGGTAGAAACATTTTTGTGCATTTCTATGTGAGCATCATCTTAGGTACTTTTCATATATAATTTCAAGGTATCTTTATTATTATATCAAGCTATTCAATATTATCCCAGTTTATTAATTAGCAAACTGAGTTGTTAAATAACTTACCAAGGACACACAGCTAGTAAGGGACTAAGCCAGGGTTCAAAAGTAGGACTGAGTGTTCCCTACTACACACCATATGCTAAAAGTCTACAGATCAAATTCCAGATGACAGATCATGCAATACTGGCCTCATGTAACCAGAAATAGTATTCGAGCTTGAAGTTTCTCAGAATCAAAGTTTTTGCAAACGAGATAGATAGGGACATTTTACTTCCTGTCCCAGCCCAGTGAATGGGGATGTGACCCAGGCTTTGCTTCCTACCTTGACAGATATTGTCCTGAAGTGAGGTTTGCAGTTTCCACATCCATGCAGTTCATCGTGCTGGGAATGAGAGCAAGTTCTGGCTGGATCATGGTGGCGGAGGCTACGGCTCTTGCGACCAATTCCATGGCATCTTGCACATAGTACTCAAAGACCGACTGTGTTTTTTTCCCATGAGCGATGAGCCCTAAGGGAAGACCTTCTGTCCTCAGTTCCTCGACGTTCTGTGAGTCCCCCAGCACCCAGCGAAGCTCAGAGGGCATTACCCAAAACTGGGTGGTGATCTCGAAAATCCGCCGGATGCTGTCCATGTGGCAGCCGAACATCACCAGGGTGGGCGTGCTGTTCTGGATGCTCTCCAGCTGGGTCTGCAGGAAGCTGAGGAGGTCCTCGGAGGCGGAGAGGTTGGCGGTGATGTTGATGATAGACCCGAGGTGGAACTTGGCATTATCCTGGGTGAGGAGGAGGAAGTCGGTGATGTTCCAGTCTTCCTGGCACAGCAACAAGCTAAAATTGTACCAGTTGTTCATGGTCAGGATTGAGACAGTGACATCAGCATCAGAACTTAATGAATTTTCTAAACTCAGCTGTAGGTGAAGGGGATTCTGTATTTAAAGATATGAAAAAGAACAATTAGAAAGTTCTGGCCAAGGATTAAAACATAGGGTACTTTTGCTTTCTAGTGAGCCTTAATCCTAATAGTTTCCCCTGTAATATTTAAATGCACACCTGGGATAAAATTCCCATAATTTGGAAAACTATGTTTCCTACCTAATGGGATTATTGATTCCTTACAACTGATTTCCTTATAATTTTTGCTAAGATTATCAGCTGGTTCTTAGTGTTAACTATTGGGGTGACACAACTATATATACATTTGGTCTTTAATGTTTATCAGGCCTGTCTATTTCCTTCCAGACTGTGCCCTTTATGCATCCCATTTCTACTTATTACTGGTATGAACCTGTTTGTTAAATTTTCCTCTCAGGTGAAATGGGCATTAGTATTTCAACATATTTCAAAAAATTACATTTGCTTTCCTTTAAAATTAATAGCAGGTACTTATATAAGGATTAGAGGCCAGGTGCATGACATTTGTGCACTGGTGGGGGGGAGAACCTCAGCCCAGACTGCTCTCTATTGCAGTCCAGGACCCCTCGGGGAATGTCCGACTGCAGCAGAGGTGGGAGAGTCTCCCGCCACCACTGCTGTGCTTGCCAGCCCTAAGCCCATCTTCTGGCTGAGCAGCACTCCCCCTATGGGAGCATACTGACCACCAGGGGGCAGCTCCTCATTGGCTGTCTGTCCCCTGGTGGTCAGTGCAGGTCATAGTGACTGGTTCTTTTGGCGTTTGGTTGATTGGTATACTAGGGTTTTATTATATAGGATGGTGTGGGAAATGGATGCATCACAGTAGTTTCTGAGATTTCTAGCTGCTGAGGAAGGCACTTCTAATATTCATGGTGCCATGGTTTGAATGTTTGTGTTCCCCCCAAGTTCATATGTTGAAATACTAATGCTCAGGAAAGTTATTAGGTCATGAGAAAAGAACCCACATGAGATTAAGGCCTCAGAGGCTGGAGAGACCTTCCTTTCTCCTTCCTCCATGTGAGGATTCAGTGAGATGTTGGCTGCCTGTGACCCAAGATATGGCCCTCACCCAGCCATGTTGGCACTGTGATCTTGAACTTCCAGCCTCCAGAGCTGAGAAATGCATTTCAGTTATTTACAAGCTACCCAGTCTGCATTCTAGCAGCCCGATTAGAATAAGATATATGGCATAATTAACAATACATGCACTAAGATTAGGTTCAATATTGAAGGCTTGCTTACATTTCTGTATCTACTAAGAATGGATTCTTACTGTGAAATGTGTGTTTATGTAGCTTCCATCACAATTTCATCTACTTATGAAACTCACCAATTCCATGAAGAAAGAATATCCTGTCGAAAAGTCAACAAATTACTTACTAATCAAGTAAGTAGAAATAGTCCTCTAATGAATAAACTTATTGAAGTGTTCTTCCCAAGAGCAGATATTTGACACATTTATCCTTTCATATTGACATCCTGAGAAAGTTCAGCACAAATCCTTACACGTATTAGGTGCACAATAATATTGGCTGCATTGAACTAAGTATGTTCCCATTGGGAACTATTAGACAATTGAACTATTTCTGAGAAACTGTCCAACATTCAAGTCAATAACATCAGTAGAGAAATGAGGAGGACTTTCTCAGTAAAGTTTCAAGCCTTTGAACAAAAGTAAGTGTGGCCTTTACCCACCAAAAAAAAAAAATGTCATAAGGAATAGGATTTGCTATGTATAGAATAAGGAATGAGGATTCCAAAGGGATTTTTGGGATACAAACTATGGCCAAAGGCAGTAAATGAACACAATAGGTAGGATGGAACCTTAGAACTTATTTTGAGAATTTGACTGTCCTTCCAAATTAAGCTGTGGGCAGAACTTGTAATGATTAAAGCAGAGCATTTAGGGGATCAGCTATAGGTTGCATCTCATGGAAGAGGGGGAGAGGAATTGAGCCCTCTAGGATCTTGATTGCGCTGTTACCCTGGAAGCTAGTGTTGGCAATGATAGAAAGGGGGATGGGAAAAGTGTGTGTGTGTGTGTGTGTGTGTGTGTGTGTGTGTGTGTTTTAAATTAAAATCTAATGACAAGATTAGATATGAGAAGCAAAAAAGAGAAAGGTGTCAAAAACCAGGAGACAGTATCCAGAAGGTATAATAGTTCCTGGTTTGCAGGCTGGGGAAGCCCTGGAAGAGGTTGAGATAAGAGGAATGAAAGCTTTGCTTCCTCACTCCTACTACTGATTCATATAAATTGCTCCAGAGAGTTTTTTCTGTCCTCCTCTTTCAGCTTTCTTTTTTTCCTTCTTCCTTTTTATTTCTTCCTTTGCCTTAACCCTCTTCTAGAAGCAAAGAGCACAGGAATGCAAGCTCCATATTTAGCTGGCAGAAACAAACTATTCCCAACTGTTTTCTTGGCTTCAGCTCCCTATTCTATTGCCAGTTTTCTTTCTATAACAAGAATATGATCATATCATTCTTCTGAACCACCACTTCTGAATCACTCATAGGAAATATTTCAAAATCAATAGTATGGCTTAGGAGGCCATTCCTAGTCTTTAATCTCCTATACTCCAAGTATGCACACCAAGACAAGTCTCAATGGACAGTGCATTTCTCTTGTGTCAGACTGAGCATTTCCACACCTACACAATATGATATCCTGGTCTCGCCATCTGGAAATGCATTTGCTTGTATGCATCGTCATCCTTCAAAACGCAGCCTTTCCATGCAGATTTTCAGAAAAACCAGTGTATGTAGTGTTTATGACTGTTTCTGTTGTTGCTGCTGCTACACTTTTATCTTTTCTCTCACAATATTTTGCCCTGTTGATTTCCAGCAGTGGTCAACTGGGTTTTTGTTGGATGGTTCCTCTGACTGCTGACCAACAGGATGAATCATTTCATGTCTGTGTCATGGGGTCATGTCCAACCCTTTATTACAGAAATCTTCACACTACAGTGTGGCTATTTGGTTATGTGGTTATCTATCACACTAGATTGGAAGCTTCTTTAGGATAGTACTTAGGAATATATCTCAATCACTTCTTCTAGCACAGTTCTTAATCAACATGAGAGTATCTGTCAAACAGGATGCTTTTTCTCTTGGCTTCAAGTCCTGAGCTATGATCATAATCTCTTCCCTGAAAGACTGAGAAGACCATTCCTAGCAGAACTTCTAGATCTGGTATTTTGTCCCCAGTTGCAACAAAGGCCCATCATACACTTTTCATAAAGGGATTCATTAAACAGTATGTGAGGAGCAAGCTCTAATGGAGACAGGGAGGAAAATGTTCTTTTCTTGCCAGATGCAGGCTATCCCAGAAGGCTGGACCCCCTCATTGCTCCTATATGCCAGCCACACAGACATGCCATTCTAACCCATGCCAGGACACATCTTAAAGTGACTTGACCCAGGGACTTTAGGATTACTTGCAAATATTAAGTCTACAAATGCCAAGGCTCTCCTTCACATGCTTTTACCAGTACAGAGGACTGGCCAATATCACAGGTTTTTCAAGTCCTACACATTTGGGGTTGGGATCCAGGCTCTCTTTCTTAGTAATTGCAACCTTGGGAAAATTAATCTCTCTGAGCCTCATTTTTGATAATCTGTTAAAGGAGGCTGATCACCTCCTGAGGCCATTGTAAGGATAAAATAAGGCAACATGCATAAAGCACTAGGGACATCGGTAGCTATTATGAGTTTTAAATTTGTATTATTATTAGACTAGAGGCCCAATACACAAAGATTTGTCCAAGAATGGGCCTTTCTTCCTCTGGCTGCCGGCACTGCCTTTGCTCTGGCTGGGGCTGCTTTTCTGCCTTTCCACACTGCCCAGAGGCCCAGAGTGGCTGGGGTGGTACAGAACGCCTGCATCCCACCCCACCCTGGGCCACTCAGTGCCTATGTATGCAAATTAACTCACCATGTTTGTTGGATTACTTTGCATACTCACTCCTGATTGGCTGGTGAGTGTTGTGAAGGTATGGTCAATTTGCATCATACTCTTTTATTAGTGTAGATTATAATTTCTGGGCAAGGTCCATGTATTATGTTTGCCTGATTCCTTAATGCAAACCTTTAATTTCTTTATAGGCCTGGGCTTTTAAAGGAGTAAGATTTAATTTTCAGGAAAAAACTGGAAAGGGGGAAGACTGTTCTAGGAAAAATTTAATAATTACAATTAGTAGGGGTAGGTGAGTGCAAGTGTCTCACTATACAGGCATTTTCTAACTGAGACTAAAAAAAATAAATAAAGAATGCATATAAAAACAATTATTCACTATATATAGCTAAACATATTTAATGATTCAAAAAACATACATATTTAACCAAATAAGGCAAAGTATGCTTAAATTCCGGCTGCGTCATCTAGGAGCTCTGTGGTCTTCTACAAGTCATTCAGTATTTTGGAGTAAAATTCTTCATCTTCAAAACGGGATGAATTCACTTTGAGAATTAAATATGAGAAGGAGATAAACACATGGAAAGTGCCTGGCACAGCGAGGGTCGGTGGTGGCGGCTGCTACAATCTGCTTGAGTTAAGTTGTTGCATTGGAAGTGCTTGCTAAAGCGACTGACTGGGACAGCTTTTCTCTTTGCTATTGTTCTTTTTCCTTTCTCTTGTCTCTCTTCAAACAATGGTCCCTGAAATAGGTGTCTTTCACGAATACCAATTACACAAACTCTTTACCAGGAAAACAGCCACTCTGTCTCAGGCTGGGGGAGACCATTCATTTGGCAGACATTATGTTTACAGCAGAGTACCACTCACCCCTTCTCCCCCCTACCCAAGCCACTTTGCAGTTCTAGTGTCACTTTACAACTCAAGGAATTTTTGGTGCCAACTGCTAGAGATCCCCCATCAATCTTTGTTGTCCCTGAGAGAACAGATTAAGCTATTTTCTGGATCAGTAAAAGTTTCATAAACAGGATTGGCTGCAGTGAAGAGCTTGCCAGAGAGCTGTGAGATATTCCCTTGGCAGAAGAAAAGAGGTAATGAAACCAGGCT